TACCTCTCCCTAAGTTCCCCCAACCTCTTCCACATCATGTTCGAAGGTACCCTAGAGGCCCCCCACTCCTAGGTATAATCTACAGGGTCCTCAGTCATGGCATACCTATCCACCTCGGACTCCCCCATCTGACCGACCCCATGATCTAAAGACGCCACTGTCACTAGCTCTCTACCCGAAGTGGACTCCATTTTTCCAGTAAAAAGACAGTAAAATAGAATTTTCTGTAAAAAAACCTAACAGAATTCGACACAAATGGAGATTGGTCGGAAATTGAAATTACAGTCAACCTCGACGTCGAAAAATTTTGAAGATTTGAGAGAATATCAGAGTGCAAGTGTTCAAAAATCCTGAAAAATGGGATTTCATCACCTTTTATAGGGGTTCAGGACGAACCCCGGCCGTTAGATCAAATCTCACTCAATCTGAGCCCTCAAACTCAAATCCAATCCGAGGCGTTGAATTCAAAGGGTTTTTCAATTCTGTGCCTCAGATTCATGCGTACTTCCCATGCACCTCTTCCAGCGCGTCTGCTTCTAGAAGCACCAGCCGCCTTCATAATTGCGTTTTTAATACGACGGCAGCAGACGCCTTGGAAGTCGTAACGGTTTAGCCACTTTTCCTCAAAAACAAGCACAAGACATCAAATATTGGCTCAGCTATCAAGGTATAATCATTACTAGTAGACCTCGGCTCCTCCTCCCCATTCAGCAACGAAGCCTCGCAGGTTCGGTTCCTCAACCACCTCGGTTCCTCTCCCTCATTTAGCAACATAGCCTCGCAGATTCGGTTCCTCAACCACCTCGGCTCCTCCTCCTCATTCAGCAACATAGCCTCGCAGGTTCGGTTCCTCAACCACCTCGGCTCCTCCTCCTCATTCAGCAACGAAGCCTCGCAGGTTCGGTTCCTCAACCACTTCGGCTTCCTCTTCAAAAGATCAACACCTCGCCTACTTCATCGCTCACCCACAGCAACACTTTTCTAATTCCAACCGTGATATAAATATCTACACTTGGACTTGGGGGACTATTGTTGCGTGTTGTCACACCTGGCCAACCTACCTGGACGATGGTCCACTCATGGCGATCCACGTGGCATTCTTGCCGAGGTGGCACACAATGCCGAGGTGGGTTACATCTGAACTGCTTCCAGCCGAAGTTCATCTGCCGAGACTCCTTTTTGTCCGAGGCCCACTAATCGAAGCCAGGCTGCAGGAACCTGTTGAGAGCAGCTGAGGCCCTCCTTTGTAAGTATCATGACAAATGGCCGAAACCCCGAAGCTGATGCACGAGCCTCTGAACCGCAAAGAAACATCCTCCATGGTCACTTCTCCCAAGAGATCGCCTGCACAGATCTTATTCGAATGATTGATGGAACGTTTGTCATAAGCATAAAGGTTAAGTCTTGTCGCTAGCATGAAGGCCCTGCACAAGCAATAAATGTGCCGTAAGCTAGCAAGTCAAGCCCCATACCTAGGAAAAGATGTGTGAACTAAAGAGATGAGGCCACGTGCCACTTCATCAAAGGACTCCCATTTCATATGTACTACTATAAATACTTCCTTGTGTAAAATCAAAAGGCTAATGCAAGAATCAATACAAAGAACTACATTTTACTCAACTCTTTCTCATTTTACTTGCAAGACACAAATCGAGTTTATACACATTTACATATATATTTATGAACACCGGTTGGTAATTATTGTACAATCGGATCACGAACAACCCGCCGGATTCCGAACGTCACCGTCCCGCATCGTTGGGCTATTCCCATGCCCTTTGAACCGCTCGTTTTAGACCGTCCACGTGTCTTAGCGTGTTGGACATTCGCCCACGCAAGCGCGGGTGGGACCGACATCTGTTGGCGCACTTTTTGGGGTCAACATCTTCAATTGTACAAGTCTTATCAAAATTGACTAATTTATATATATCATTATTTTACTTTGTCAAATTGATATTATATTGATAAAAACAAATATAAAAAGACATAACATGTTCAACCGAACAAATTTAAAAATCTATATATTGTAATAAATTAAAGTGTGGAGTTACAACTTTTGTGACAATATCAAAGGAAAAAACACAAAAAATATTGTTCATCCTAATAATCAATGTTGTGTACTAATAACGATAATTATATTTAAGATTTGTAGTGTTTATTTTGGATATTAATTTTGTCAGCTTGCATGTTATCCGTATTTTATTGAACTCGGAATTAAAAAAATAAAAATAAATTAAACAGGCCAAGAAAACTGCCCACGCCGCCCTGTGAATGGCAGGGCGGGGTGTGGGGTGGGAGAAACAGGTGGGAGAAACGGGGCGGGGCGTCCCCGCCCCATTGCCATCACTAGAACTCACTTCGCCCCTGTCCCGAACCTACCCCGTTGACATCACTAGAACTCACTTACTTTAAAAAGAAAAAGCATGGAAGTGAAATAAGAAGAATAAATGCTATATCTTGCAATTTATTTTTGAAGCATTCAAAAATCAAACTAAACCGACCAAAACCAATTAGTACTGATATGGTCTGGTTTTCCCTTTCTCTCCCCCCGCCCCCTTCCCCCCCATGCAACCAATTGTTCCATTTTTACGATTTTCAACTTGGAGTCAGTTCAATTGTTGAGATATTTATTTATAAGAATCATCCACTGTTCACCTCCAATCTTTCCATTATGTTTTTCTTAGCATGCATGTGTAAATATTTTTTTATCCTAAAATTATATTCATGTCACTGACTTTGGGCTGCAAATATGAATTATATTTTTTATATCAGTAAATATATCTGTGCTTTTATGTAAATATGGGTGAAGTATATGAAATTCTGCAATTACCAAATCCACATTGAGTAATCTGTGGTTGGGAAAAAAGGTCGGTAATCTAAGGGTGGAATACTTGTCAAGTTCGGCAACTGATGAAAGAAATCATTTCTTTTTTTTTTTATTCTTTTTTTTTGCTGCCAGAAATCTTTCCTTTTTTTTGGTTGATGACATGTTCGACAACTGAAGGCTGAAGGATGAGTGCTTTCATTAGGCAATATTCTGATCCCAGGATCAATATCAATGCTGACAATTCGTTAATGATTTTGATGAAGAATTGTGCAATTTGTTTGATTCCCACTATGGAAACATCCCCGAATATTATTTATCCATTTTTTGGTTGATGACATCTTTTGTTTTGGGGATGGTATTGGCAGGTTTAAGTGATTTGATCACGCTGATATGGACGAATGTGACTCTTTTGTGGGTGACTCAATCTATTAACTTTCTCATGTCTCTAAAAACTAGATACCCACATATGAAGCGTGTTTTGATAAAATAAATTACTTGGAATAACTTATGACATTGCAAGGAGTTCATAAGACGTTACAAGCACCTAATTACATACATTGGGAAATAATGTCAATTCGTCAACCACACACATAAATCAATCCTTCAACTTGGCGGTTTTCCTTGTTTGTTACATTTGACAATTTCTTTTCCCTTGCTAAAAGTCATGTGCAGTGATATGTCAACGCCTAGTTTCTCGCTAATTCTAGCTAGTCCGTCAAACAATCTTGGCAACTCTTCATCTTCCTTGTTCGGCGCATGATTCACCGGACAATTAATGGAACTTGAGTCCTCGTCTACTGCTTCATCTTTCACCCAATCAAAGTATCCACGGTCATCGTTATAGGTAAAAAACTAACGCCCTTTGTTACCAGTATCCCGTTTGACCTCAAAACATTTCCGATATCCTTGGTCACAACTAGGGCATCGGCGCTTTGATTGGCATGTCCAAAATAGTGCGTGTTGACAGACTCAATTTTTTTTTCCTTTCATTCTACTCGATGACTGCAAATGAAACAATGTGAATCCATCGCCAGTTTGAAACTCTAGAGCATACAACTCAATCATTCCATGCCAATTCGAATTATTCACGAACTTAGTATGAGCAACTATCTCAAAGTATGATAACTTGGAAATTAGAAGTATACTTGCTGTGTGAGAAATATTAAATCTTGAAGAAAGATCAACAGTTTCCGGATCCTAAATATTCAGGAGGAACTATCCGAATTGGTACAGAAAACAACATTTTTCCTAAAGGAATTAATCAATGAAAGCATAAAAAAAAGCAGAACACCTTAAATCTGAAAACCCCTTATCATTAGCAGGAAAGCTCTACATAAACAGAAATATAAAACCATCAGAAATCTCTCGAGGATGACTTCTACTTATCATTAATCCGTGAAGGAATTATTTAGAATTGTAAAAGTTGTATAAATAACTCGGAAACAAGATTTGAATCTGACACTTTAACAATTATCAAACAACTTATTCAAATTGCAAGAAATTTCACCTCATCTAACCTCCAGAAATCTGCTTCATACTTGTACCACCTTACTACTGTCGGAGGTGGAGCTTGGAGCGCCGATCGATTTCACTGTTGGAGGGTTGGTCGACGGCCGGTTGTAGTTTTGGTTGGTGTTGGGTAAAGGCGTCCATCTTCGCTAGGGCAAAATGGCTGGAGCGGGGAAGAAAGTGATTTTGACTATTTCTGCCTTTCCGCCGCCTTCTTTTTTTAGGGAGTGTACCACATCAGCATTTTATAAATTCCTGTACCAATTCTGTAGTTTTTTCCTGTACCTATAGCGGGATTGTCACTTTTAATAGAAGATATTACTGGTTAAGAATAAACTTTTTTTTACAATTGAGGTCAAATGTTCAAGAATTAATACTAATACTACCCTCCCCTTCACCGTTTGACATCTACTTTTTTTAAGTTAAATTCTACATATTTATGTGCCAAGTTTTATCGAATCAATAGAATTTTCATTAAACCTACAACTTGGAAAGCAAATATATAGAATTTTCAAATGGAAGCAATATTCTATAAAGTTCAAGGTTGAGTCTGAAATAGATTAAACTTTAGTAACTAAAATGAACTAATTGAAAAGTTCAGTGGCAACTATTGAAATTAACACTTCGATCCCACGTCACTTTGCAAAAGTTAACCTAATTTTTTTTTCCCATAGTCGGTTCTCCGTTTACATCATTTCTTGATTTGCCATGAATAACGTCAAGAAGAAACCCTGTATAAACACCGCCACTGCGGTGTCTGGAGGCGGTGTACCTCCGTTGGAAGGCCTGCCACTCCCAGACGCCATTATTTTCAGCGAAATTTTTGGTAAGCTAGACTTGGAATCACTTTGTTCCCTGGCTTGCGTTTCCCGGGGACTCCGTTCAGTTGTTTCTCAAGCTCTTTCAACTTTCCCCTCTCTTGATCTCTCTGTAAGCTTTCATTTTCAAGTTATTATGTGCAAAACTCGTTATTTTTATTTAGATTTAATAAGCTAAATGGTTGATTGAGATGATCTTGGCTGTCCTTTTGAGTTCAAGAAACTTTCTTGAAATTTGTTATCTGGGCATATCTGTGTGTTGTAGAAATTGCTTTGTTACAGTTACAGATTATGCAGAGCAAAAAAATATATACAATTTTTTTGTGGGAGGTTTTTATGTTTGAATATCATTGGAGGGGATGCTTACTTAGTTAAATGTGTGTGGAAGAATAGGCAATTTCACTGAATGGTGAGATTCTGGATCGGATTATCCCGAAATTTAGAGGGTTGAAGAGTGTAACTATTGATTGTCTCCGGTTGGATGATTCCTCAGTAATCTGCATTCTTGGGCCGCATCTCCAAGAATTGAATTTGCTCAAGTGTGCCTCACTCTCTTATAACATTCTTTCATCTATTGGTAAAAGGTGCCCCAATTTAAGGTACATACTTTATTTACTCTTGAGTTGTAGCTAGAAAGTTCGGTGCCATCAATTTCAGAACTATCCTGTTGGCCTTTGACTTGCAAGCATAAAAAAGAGCATACACTGATTTGCATAGTGATTGAGAAATGCAAAACTAGGCTTAAAATGCCGATTTGCCGAGCTTAGTTATCTCTGATATATGTATTTCAGGATTCTTGCCCTAGAGTTGGAAGGAGAGACATCACCTGAAATTTTTAAGAAGAACCTAATAGAAATGCTGAAAGGCATTCTCTGTTTGGAGGTAAGTGTTTTCATATTGTTTATTTAACTTCTTCAAACAATTATTTGTTTCACAGAATTGAATTCAGCTATCAACTTATTAAACCTGTAACTTTTGCAGTCTCTATCCATAAAAGTCCGTGGAACAGAGCTTGATGCATACGATTTAACTTGCATTGATCTCTTCCTACCCCAAACTCTCAAACTTCTGAAATTGCAGCCTGTGAACGAGCAAGATGCTATTCTGTTTATGAAAGTACTTGGAGATGGAAAAAATAATCCGGGACACTTGGTCAATTTTGCAATGCCCTCAAATTTAGGATGCACTTGTTTTACACTTCTGTATTTGTCACTTGTCCTGAATGTTATATCTGATGAACTTATCATCTCAATTGCCAATTCGCTTCCATTTTTAGTTGAGCTGGATCTTGAAGACAGACCAAGCACCGACCCAAAACTGCCGCGTGACTTAACTAACACTGGTTTGCAATCTCTAGGCTTGTTTCAGCATCTCACCTCTCTGTCAATTGTGCGCAGTAGACTGAATTATCCAGTGTCTTTTAAAAGAGTAAACGATTTGGGCTTAATGCTTCTTTCTGAGAGTTGCAGAGGCCTAGAGTCTGTGAAACTTGGCGGGTTTTCTACAGTTACTGATGCAGGGTTTTCGTCCATTTTATGCTCTTGCTATAATTTGAAGAAATTTGAAGTTCGCAATGCACCTCTTATGTCAGACTTGGCTTTTCACGACATCATTGGGGTCGTCTCTTTTCTTACTGATCTGAGAATCTTGTCATGCAATCTCATAACTAGCGAAGCTGTGGCTGAACTTGCTGCATCTACAACGTTGGAGGTGTTTGTTACTTATGGTTGCAGGAGCATAGCCAACCCCTGTCTGGACTACATATCACGCCTTAGTACACTAACCACGCTTAATCTAGGAGGAGCTGACATCACAGACAGTGGTCTTGCTGTTTTGGGTAAAGGGAACTTACCAATTGAACGTTTGACTCTTAGAGGATGTGTGAGAGTCACTGACAGAGGAATATTCTCCTTACTCAATGGTGGGGAGAAAATCAAGACGACGTTATCGTCTCTAGATATTGGTAACATGCCAGGAATATCAGATAGAGGTATTAAAACAATTGTTTCTAGTGCTGAAGCAATTACTGAGCTATGTATGAGGTATTGCTTTCATGTGACTAATGCTGCTTTGAAAATGTTGGCTTCTGAGAGATCCAATAAAATTAATTTGCTTCAACGACTCGACCTTTGTCATTGCACGTGTTTCTCGATTGGACTGCTGGAACTATTGCAGGACAGTTCGTTCCGTGGCTTACGATGGCTTGGAGTTGGCAGCACTTCTTTGGTTACTGCAAGGGATAATTGCAGAGTGATATGCGCAAAGAGACCATGGCTGACACTGTGTTTTGAAGGCTGTGAAGTTGGATGTCATGATGGATGGCAATTCCACAAGTCCAATGGCAAATGAATCATTTTACACGTACATCTTTGGTTGACGTTAAGTTTGACACACTTGTGGGGTGACAGTTTTTAATACTGATTGTGTACAACTAGTTTAATCTCTTATTTAATTTTTCCTTCTAGAAATTTAATGTTTTTACGAGATATTTAGCACTTCGTTTTGTACAAATTCTTTGAACTTATTTCTCCATATTCATTTTCAGCATTTACCATTTGGATTAACCACAAAGCAGTAGACAACCTTCTTAATATCAGTTTGAGAAATTAGTAAAAAAGGTCTCAAACTTTTTTATTTATTTGTTCAAATGATCATTTCAGACTGAATTCATCCTAAGGAATTTATAGTGTTGTGCTGCAATGCAATTGATCTTATTTTGTTTTTATTCCGAGGAACACTTCCCATTGAAGGGTTCACTTTTAATGCGACTCACTTGCGTCACTGCACGATTCTATGTCGTTGAAATATGGTAAACTGTACCAATTTATGTTGTCTTGGTTGAGAATTATCGTTTCCACCGTTGAGGTCAAGGATTCAAGAACTATTACGTATTTATGTGTCAAATAGTTATCTCTCGTACTGGCAGCAGGCAAATCCTACGAATTTATATGCCAACTCATCAAATCATTAGATTTTTTAATTAAATCCTACGACATAGAGAATTTTTCAGTTAAAAAGTATATACAATCTACAAAATTTAATGACTAGCCTGAAAAAAAATTAAAATTTTAGTAACTAAAGTGACTAATTATTGAGATTAACTCTGATTCCGTCTCACTAATTTAGATTGCAGAGTTTTCCCATAATTTTTCGCAGTGTCGGTCTCCGTTTACATCCGTAACTTTCTTGATTTGCCATGAATAACGTCAAAAAGAAACCCTGTATAAACACCGCCAATGCCGTTTCTGAAGGCAGTGTACCGCCGTTGGAGGGCCTGCCACTTCCAGAAGCCATTATTTTCAGCCAAAATTTTTAGTAAACTAGATTTGGAATCACTTTGTTCCCGGGCTTGCGTTTCCCGGGGATTCCGTTCAATCGTTTCTCAAGCTCTTTCAACTCTCCCCTGTCTTGATCTCTATGTAAGCTCTATTTTCAAATAATCATGTGCATAACTCATTTTTGTTTATATTTAATAAGCTAAATGGTTAATTGAGATGATCTTGGCTGCCCTTTTGAGTTCAAGAAACTTTCTTGAAATTTATTATCTAGGCATTTCTGTGTGTTGTAGAAATTGCTTTGTTACAGTGACAGGCCATGCTATTCTTTAGGAAAAAAAAAAAAAAAAACAAATACATTTCCTGTGGGAGGTTTTTATGTTTTAATATCATTGAAGGGGATGCATGCTTAGTTAAATGTTCGTGGAATAATAGGCTGTTTCACTGACTGGCGAGATTCTGGATTGGATTATCCCGAAATTTAGAGGTTGAAGTCTCCGGTTGGATGAGTCCTCAGTGACCAACATTCTTGGGCCACATCTCCAAGAATTGAATTTGCTCAACTCACTCTCCTATGACATTCTTTCATCTATTGGTAAAAGGCGCCCCAATTTAAGGTACATTCTTTATTAGATTTGGAATTTTAAATTTCTTCGTATCATGTTAGTCAAAATGGAAAGTACTTTTGAGTTGTAGCTGGAAAGCTCATTGCCATCAGTTTCGGAACTATCCTGTTGGCCTTTGATTTGCAAGTATAAAAATTGATTTGCATACTGATTGAGAATGGCAAGGCTAGGCTTAAAATGCCAATTTGCCCTGCTTAGTTATCTCTGATATTAAAAATTATTATCTTCATTCATTGGCATTTTCGCACCTGTTATAGCTTGACTTATAGAGTGTGATACACCTGTTGATAAACAAAAATGCAGCATTTTGTTTTAAGTTTTTCTCCAGCCAATGTAAATTATCTATATCCATTAGTCTATTGATCTGATTTACCAAATTTATATGAACTACAAATACAAAATTGATACGTGTGTAGATAATTTAATGCATGGTTTCTGAACTTTACTATAGGTCACTTGCTTACCGTTCTTTAAAAAGTTACTTGTTGCTCAATCAATTTTACTATAAGTTACTATGTATTCATCGAAATTTAAAAAGTTACTCACCGTTCACGTAAATTTGAATAAAGTTACTTGTTGCTCACTAAGCTTTGTAATAGGTAACAATCATGTAAATGATATGCGTGATTGATCGGTAACTTTGTTCAAATTTGGGTAAGCAATAAATAACCTTTTAAATTTCAATGAGCAAGTAGTAATCTATAGCAAAGTTCAATGAGCAAAGAGTAACTTTTTAAATTTTGGTGAGCAAGTAGTAACCTATAGCAAAGTTCAATGACCATTGATTAAATTAACTCATACCTGTGCGGTCAGTAGAAATGTGACTTTATTTTCCTTTCTAAGAATAGAGTTATTGCGTGGGAAGTGAAATTAAATCTTTGAGCATATTGACTTGTTAAATGTTGTTTTTCTACTAATTCAGAACTTAAATTTCCTACTTGATAATGAATGTAGTTATACCTGAACGATTTTGTTGCTCTGGATTCAGTCCTTTATTTTGTTATTTTTATAATATATATATTTTCAGGAGATACATCACCTAAAATTTTCAAGAACCTTATAGAAATTTTGAAAGGCATTCTCAGTTTGGAGGTAAATATTTTCATATTGTTTATTTAACTGCTTATACTATTTATTTTAAGCAAGTTCGGTCGTTGAAATAATTATTTGTTTCACAAAATTGAGTTCAGCTATCAACTTATTAAACCTGTAACTTTTGCAGTCTATCCATAAAAGTCCTTGGAATAGAGCTTGATGCATATGATTTAACTGCCATTGATCTCTTCCTACCCCAGACTCTCGAACTTCTTAAATTACAGCCTGTGAATGAGTAAGATGCTATTCTGTTTACAGAAGTACTTGGAGAAGGAAAAAATAATCCGGGACGCTTGGTCAATTTTGCCATGCACTCAAATTTTGGACACACTGTTTTTTACACTGCTGCATTTGACACTTGTCCTGAATGTCAGATCTGATGAACTTATAATCTTAATTGCCAATTCGCTTCCATTTTTAGTTGAGCTGGATCTTGAAGACGGAACAAGCATCGAACCAAAACTGCCTCATGACTTCACTAACGCTGGGCTACAATCTCTAGGCTTGTTTCAGCATCTCACCTCTCTGTCAATTGTAGGCAGTATACTGAATTTTCCAGTGTCTTTTAAAAGAGTAAATGGTTTGGGCTTAATGCTTCTTTCTTAAGAGTTGCAGAGGCCTTGAGTCTGTGAGACTTGGTGGGTTTTCTACGGTTAGTGATGCAGGGTTTTCGTCCATTTTATGCTCTTGCTATAATTTGAAGAAATTTGAAGTTTGCAATGCACCGCTAATGTCAGACTTGGCTTTTCATGACACCAATGAGGTCGTCTCTCCTCTTACTGATCTGAGAATCTTGTCGTGCAACCTCATAATTAGCAAAGCTGTGGCTGAACTTGCTGCATCTACTGTATTGGAGTGCTTGTTCTTATGGTTGCAGGAGCATCGCCAACCCCTGTCTCGACTTCATATCACTCCTTAGTACACTAACCACGCTAAACCTAGGAGGAGCTGATATCACATTGACAATGGTCTTGCTGTTTTGGGTAAAGGGGACTTACTGATGAACATTTGAGTCTAGAGGATGTGTGAGAGTCACTGATGGAGGAATATTCTCCGTACTCAATGTTGGGGAGAAAATCAAGATGACGTTATCATCTCTAGATATTGGTCACATGCCAGGAATATTAGATAGAGGTATCAAAAGCTTCAAAACAATTGTTTCTAGCTCGAGCAATTACTGAGCCATATATGAGGGAGCAATTACTGAGCCATATATGAGGTATTGCTTTCGTGTGACCAAGGCTGCTTTGTAAATGTTGGCTTCTGAGAAATCCAATAGAATTAATTTGCTTCAACGACTTGACCTTCGTCATTGCATGAGGTTCTCAATTGTACTGCTGGGATTATTGCAGGACAGTTCGTTTCGTGGCTTGCGATGGCTTGGATTTGGCAGCACTTCTTTGGTTACTGCAAGGGATAATTACAGAGTAATATGCACAAAGAGACCGTGGCTGACTCTCTGTTTTGAAGACACTGAAGTTGGATGTCATGATGGATGGCAATTACGCCATTCTAATGGCACGTCTTGATTCTCTGGTTTGCTTCTCCCCCATTAGAAATTTAGGGTCCATTTGACTGCGAAGATGGAATTTGGGTGGAAAGAAAATTAATTTCAGGGAATTGAATTGCCTGGAAATTATTTTTCTGGGAATTGTAAATTATTGTATTTAATTGATATAATTTTTCACGTGGAATTCGTTGAAATTAAAGTGTCTTTTAGTGTTCGTTTGGCTTTATTTTATATGAAAATTATCAATTAAAGTGATAGATTTTACTGATATTGGGGATGAAATTTATTTCCATTGCAAAAAAAAAAAGAAAAAAAAAATCATCCATCTTTTGGTGTTCGTTTGACTTTGTTTTATGTGGAAATTGTCAATTAAATATTTTTTTTATAATAATTCTTAGAATTTGTTTTCATTACAAAAAATAAAAAAATAAAAAAATAATAATAATAAAAATGCTACAGTACCGAGAATTCCAATTCCACAAAATTCAGGAAAAGAGGCGCATGAGTGGGGTTGTCAAGAATTTCCTTTGCCAAGAAATTTTGGGGTATCAAACAAGAAAAAAGTACAATTCCATTTTCCATAAAAAAAAAAAAAAAACACATAATCAAACAGGGCCTTAATGTTTTTACAAGATGTTTAGCACTTTGTTTTGTACAAATTCTTTAAACTCATTTCTCCATATTCATTTTTAGCACCTACTTTTTGGATTAACCACCAAACAGTAGACACATTTTTAATATCGAGAAATTAGGAGCCTGTTTGGGAGTGATTTTGAGAATTGATTTTTTGACCGTTAGGAGAAAAGTGGAATCCACCTGTAAGAGAAGAAGTCAAATATGACGGTTGAAATAGTAAAATAATGGTTAAAAAATCAAATTTTTGGGTGAAAAAATCGGGCCCAAACAGCCCCTAGTACTAATGGTTATTTCAGACTGAATTTACCCAAAAGGATTGTTTTTTGTTTTGTTTCAAGGGACAATTAAGTCAGATAACTTTCTCCACCCAAAAAAAAAAATTTTAATATATATATATATATAGAAAATTTTGAAAATTCGAAAAAAGATGGAAAAGGAAAATTCAAATTTGAAAATAGATAGAAAAGGAAAATTCTTCTTACAATAAAACACATCCCAACTACCATACTGTCACCGTTGTCACATAACTGCCACCATTGGGGCACGTGTCGCAAACTCTTGATTTTTCAGAAAATCTACGAAATCATTTTGGATAAAGATATTTGTACAAAATAAAGGCAAAATGATGTACTCACTCTAACAAAATTAACGAATCCCACGTGAATTTAAAAAATGTCGACTTGTAGTCCCCACTCGCACTATAAGTAGTGAGTAAAGGAATTTGTAAAAAAAAAAATTTGTACATGCAGCATTAACCAATCATTTTTTGCGCCTTAATTAAGCTCTAACCTTTTGTACAATTTGTACATTGATTTCCTTTGAATTTTGGGGTAGCCAATCATTGGTTGGGAAAGAAGACGTTGAATATAGATAGCGAAGCTTTCAGAGTACATCCTTGCGGCCTCGTCCGTTCAAAATAAGGCAATTTGCACCAAAAATGAAAAAGTTTCGGTCAATTTGTGCAAAAGTGAAATGTTTGGACCAAAAATGCAATTTGGGCTGAATTTGGGACTACTTACGCAAACTTCCTTAACATTTCTTGAAAAAACCTACTAACAAAAACTATTGTGCCAAACGGTAGAACCTGATAAAATCATCTTAAATATAAAGAAACAGAAAACAAAAACCATCTCGATTCCTGCAATGTCATGAATTCTTAAAGATTAACATTCAAGAGATATCTTGTATGTGCATCAGCTTCAAAAGGAGATTTGCCATTGCGGGCAGATGATGATGATGATCGGCTTTCAGATAAAAGCACTCCGTCCACCCCGGCGACTTTGCCTGTCATATGCAGTGTTGAATTTATCGACCAGCTCGTTCATCGTGCTGCCCAAACAACAAAAGAAGAGTATTCATATCACATGCAGCAACTTAAAACTAATCTGTGGTATATAAAGCTGTTAAATTCATTGATGAGCCAAAACCAAGTCTTCAGTGTATACTGGTAGCAAATTCTATTTATTAGCAGAAAGGAAAATGGATAATTTTTAACAGAAACTGATTGGTTCCAATGATAACCCAGCAAAACTAGAGTAAAAATCATTATTCAAATTGTGCGCCTGCCAGCAAATGCTATACAAACTTTACCTGCATCCTAATTCAGAACTGGTCTAACTGTTTTCACCCATGACACTGCTTCTCCTTTTATTATCAAAGTCAAGAATTTCATCTTCTAAAAGTAAATGGATTATTAGAACGCTAATAAACATACCTTGAGCAGTTGGTGAACATGGCAAGGTAACTAATCAATAACGTGTCATTGTATTCCTGTAAATAATATAAAATATTAAAATCAGAAAATGATAAAAATGAACTTGTTCCAAGATTAAATGTACTTCTATCATCATATGAATGTGAGAATCAATTTAAGCAAATGAAAAATACAGAAGAAAAATGCAACAAGAACAAAAAGTAGACAAGAATTTCCCCTTGCAGCACGCCTATCCAATAACCCCCATAAGCAAGTGAAACATACATAGTACCGATAAGTAATCTGAAGGAAAATCATAAATTTGTGAATAAGTACTCACCATCAAGAAATCATCCTGAAACTTTTCAGATTCGATTGCTGGCAATCTTCTTAAGAGACTAGATACTTGCCTTAGCAATGAATTTTCAACAGGAACATCACCTGAATACAGCAGCAACTCAATTAACAATTTATAGCTGCGGTCCTTAGGAGACCAGACTTTTTTGCCCTTCATCAAGAAGGCCAATCAAAGCTCTCTAAGAACAAGATTTGCTTGCATGATGGGCTAGGCATTTCTAGACTGCGAAACTTAAAACATATATAAGCAAATAAACCACACTTTCTTTATTTACTTCATTCAGAATTTGGAATTTAGATCCACTAAGAACTTCAGATTCTGGTTTAAAAACATGCTCTTATCCTAACCAAAAAGCACAGAAACATTTTTGGAGGAAAAAATCCTCCTATACACTAGTCAAAATAAACCCCCAAAAAAAAAGAGCCTTTCCCCCAAAAGTGGCTGTATATACCTTTTTGCATTGCAAGAAGATAATGATTAAGTCCTCTGATTCTGCTATTCAGCATCTTGATGGCACTGTGTATGCCTGTAAGGTGAGCAGCCACTACAAACAAAATTCATTTGTAAGTCCTATGCACATGCTAATAACAACAAAAATGAACAGGGGTGGGCAGGCATGAATCCCAGGTCCCTAACTAAAGAAATATCTCTCACTTAGCACCTGTCTGAGTCCCATTATCTAAAAACTGTTTTTCCCAAATTTATTTTCAATCACACATTCTCCCAATAAAATAATTTGCAGTAAATCGAATACTTTTTCCTACTTTTTTAACCACACATTCTCCCAAAAAAAAAAAAAATCACTATTACAAAACTCATTTTTCTTAAAAAATGTGGCTCTTAACTTCTGATGAAACAGTTAGGGATAACTTATATCAAGAAAACTTATATAAAAAGAGGAAGGACTCACATTGAGTTGCAGCTGAACCCCCATCAGACGGCTTAAGATGGGCAACATGATCGATGGAGATTCGTTCAGCTTCTACTGTCTGACAAGCAAGTAAAAATGATATGTAAGTCTTTTGATGTCTAACTTGTGCAAAGCACAATCTGAAAGAATGTGAAGAACATACCTCTATTGTGTAGCCGGACCGAACAAAAATAAGCTGGGGGATACCATCAATCACATGCAACTCTTGAGAGAGAATAATTGGTTGCAAAGAACAATAAAGAAAATTAACAAATTTCACATATTTATAATTTAAAACAATCAAATTAGCAGGTATTATGATTGCGAGAACATGATTAATGTAGCCTAGAGTTCAAAACAATTAAAACATAGTTGAATAAGGTGGCAGGAGTAAATTTGATGATTGAAATGTAGAACTAAAAACAAATGTAAGGGCTAATCATTAATCAAACAAGAATATATCCTAAACACAGCTCCAGGCATTCTCAAGGTACATGGTAATTTTGATGTGGCTTGCCTATTACTACATACATTAGATGAACCACAAACAAGTAATTAGGATATCAGAGGCTCTAATATCAGCACAGCTCTTCATTTTTCAATATGTTAAACTACTTACTTTACTCTCTCCCAACCAGGGATGAATGGTATCTATTAAGAATATTAGTGAACCTTGCACGAATTTAGAAGCTATCACCAAAATTTTTGGAATATTTTCAACACTTTCCACATATTGAAAATTTTATGTAAAAATTATTTCCATGACCTGGGAATTTGTGTACCTATATAATGGTGTCTCACACATTAAACTATATTGTCTAATTTAACCATGAAAGCATGATAGACAAATCTTTGAAATATACATATCATTAATTGGAAGCACTTAGACGCACAACCTTATAGATTGCTCAAATACTCTCTCAAGCCAACATGCGGACCTTGCATCTATCCTAATTCATGAGGCTCTATCCTTTGATTCATTGAAGGCGGCAAGTCATCAACGCTCTACAGTCATATAGGTAGACTTATCAAGAATGAGCCATAACTAAATTACTTTAACACTTTCGTATTTCAAGTGCATGTTGGCGAAGCTTAAATTGCTTATAAGTTAGTCAAACTCTATTTTTTTATCCACACATTCCATAAGACCACAACTTTTTACCTACTTTGACCCATATATTATTCACACATCTCAAAGGATCCGCTACTTATAATTTAATAAAAGCTTTGCCAAATATGCTCTAAGTCACAGCATTTAGCTCGTTCTGCCCCTTCTATTACCACGTATAAGTACTATTTGCTTGGGATATATTTTTCTCCAAACATCTCGTATGATGTGTTTACTCATCAAACTCTAGATATTGACATTTCAAAACTTGAGTCGATTTCTCACGGTTGCTGTATATATGGAAATTGGCTTGAGTATCATCCATCTAGCATTCTTGTTTAATAGCATGCCTACGAATTTAATTGCAGAGCATGCTTTTAAGTGTCTTACGCAACAGCCAAATAATAAATACATACCACTTTCAAAAATTGTAACTGGCAAATCTTTCTGTGCCGGGTTGATCGACGGATTGAGAAGAACAAATACGGGGCTCTCATTGATATCCATCAACTGTTAGGAAGAAAAGAATTAGGGAGCATGTATGGATCTGCTGCTATTGTGTATTTAATATAAACCTAATATGCATTATCTCAGCATCTAAAGCACCATGGAGCCACTATCTAATAAACTCAAACTCAATATGTGTTCGTTTTTGCGGCAAGTATATTAGAATACATAATCATAGGTGAATCTAGTTAGGTCATTATAAACAATAAAAAAGATTTAAAATATTTGAGCATAGTACTGTTCTTTCCTTTTTCCAGTGAAAGTGCGGCAGAGTGGGAAATCTAACCTTGAAGTGGACAAATAACATATTGATAGCAAATGAAGATGCCAATTAATATCAATTCAAGGGCAGAAACGAGAAACACTTCAAAAATCTAAGCATGTCAATCCGTGACATGCCATGACAAATTTTCCAGTGTTAGGATGCACATCTTTGACTTTAATATAAACAATGAAGAACTATATAAACATCTTCCGAAATTCCCAGCTTAGTTTATCCGTGCTCACTCATGCCCGGCTTGTATACTCAGTAACTCAACTACAATCCAAATTCACATTCTCCTCATCCAACCCCGAGGGTAGCTCGGTGATCTGGCTTTGGGTTTCCTCCCTAATGGTTACCAGTTCGAGTTCGCTTAGGCCACTAAGGTGAGTACCGGTTGTAAACTTTAACCCCATAGGATTAGTCGAGGTAAGTGTAAACCCGTGGTCATAATAAAAAAAATAAATAAAAAAGAAAAGAAAAAAAAATTCTCCTCATATTCCATATGCAAATTTTTTCTGTAACGATAGGCACTGAGAATATTCAAATTGCATAACTTACACGCGTGATCTCAAAATATACCAGTCCAATCTCCATTTGAGTTTAAACAAAATTTATTCCATCAGACAAAACTATACAATTACAGGAAAAAAAAAATGAACTCACAGCTCTGTGAATGAGCATATCAGATTCTTGGGCATCGCTCCCCGTCGAGTACCATCCTAGTATATAAAAATTTGGAAACACCTTCTTATCTGCTCAACGCATGAAAATCTTTACTTTCGATTTCCACCACCCAGAACGAAACAAATATAACATAAATAAACGAAGTACATACAGAGTTCCTGTTTTTTCTCCAGGAAGGCACGGTCCAGGGAGTGAGTTAATGGATCGAATAGGAGCTCGAAACTGTTGAATATCTCGACAGTACGGCCGCGTTGGACGCCTATAACGCATCCGAACACTCGAGGTGACTGCTGAGGTGGCGATGAGGATTCAGCGTCGGCGACGTTTGAGGCGGAGGGAGCGTGAGGGGTGGTGGAAGGGGGTAAAGACTGGGACTTGATCCGAGTGTAGTGATCGGAAATGTTGACAATGACTAGTGGATGGAGCTTGAATGTTAGCTCTTCATTTTTCAATATGTTAAACTACTTACTTTACTCTCTCCCAACCAGGGACGAATGGTATCTATTAAGAATATTAGTGAACCTTGCACGAATTTAGAAGCTTTCACCAAAATTTTCGGAATATTTTCAACACTTTCCACATATTGAAAATTTTATGTAAAAATTATTTCCATGACCTGGGAATTTGTGTACCTATATAATGGTGTCTCACACATTAAACTATATTGTCTAATTTAACCATGAAAGCATGATAGACAAATCTTTGAAATATACATATCATTAATTGGAAGCACTTAGACGCACAACCTTATAGATTGCTCAAATACTCTCTCAAGCCAACATGCGGACCTTGCATCTATCCTAATTCATGAGGCTCTATCCTTTGATTCATTGAAGGCGGCAAGTCATCAACGCTCTACAGTCATATAGGTAGACTTATCAAGAATGAGCCATAACTAAATTACTTTAACACTTTCGTATTTCAAGTGCATGTTGGCGAAGCTTAAATTGCTTATAAGTTAGTCAAACTCTATTTTTTTATCCACACATTCCATAAGACCACAACTTTTTACCTACTTTGACCCATATATTATTCACACATCTCAAAGGATCCGCTACTTATAATTTAATAAAAGCTTTGCCAAATATGCTCTAAGTCACAGCATTTAGCTCGTTCTGCCCCTTCTCTTACCACGTATAAGTACTATTTGCTTGGGATATATTTTTCTCCAAACATCTCGTATGATGTGTTTACTCATCAAACTCTAGATATTGACATTTCAAAACTTGAGTCGATTTCTCACGGTTGCTGTATATATGGAAATTGGCTTGAGTATCATCCATCTAGCATTCTTGTTTAATAGCATGCCTACGAATTTAATTGCAGAGCATGCTTTTAAGTGTCTTACGCAACAGCCGAATAATAAATACATACCACTTTCAAAAATTGTAACTGGCAAATCTTTCTGTGCCGGGTTGATCGACGGATTGAGAAGAACAAATACGGGGCTCTCATTGATATCCATCAACTGTTAGGAAGAAAAGAATTAGGGAGCATGTACGGATCTGCTGCTATTGTGTATTTAATATAAACCTAATATGCATTATCTCAGCATCTAAAGCACCATGGAGCCACTATCTAATAAACTCAAACTCAATATGTGTTCGTTTTTGCGGCAAGTATATTAGAATACATAATCGTAGGTGAATCTAGTTAGGTCATTATAAACAATAAAAAAGATTTAAAATATTTGAGCATAGTACTGTTCTTTCCTTTTTCCAGTGAAAGTGCGGCGGAGTGGGAAATCTAACCTTGAAGTGGACAAATAAAATATTGATAGCAAATTAAGATGCCAATTAATATCAATTCAAGGGCAGAAACGAGAAACACTTCAAAAATCTAAGCATGTCAATCCGTGACATGCCATGACAAATTTTCCAGTATTAGGATGCACATCTTTGACTTTAATATAAACAATGAAGAACTATATAAACATCTTCCGAAATTCCCAGCTCAGTTTATCCGTGCTCACTCATGCCCGGCTTGTATACTCAGTAACTCAACTACAATCCAAATTCACATTCTCCTCATCCAACCCCGAGGGTAGCTCGGTCATCTGGCTTTGGGTTTCCTCCTAATGGTTACCAGTTCGAGTCAGCTTAGGCCACTAAGGTGAGTACCGGTTGTAAACTTTAACCCCATAGGATTAGTCGAGGTAAGCGTAAACCCGTGGTCATAATTAAAAAAATAAATAAAAAAAGAAAAGAAAAAAAAAATTCTCCTCATATTCCATATGCAAATTTTTTCTGTAACGATAGGCACTGAGAATATTCAAATTGCATAACTTACACGCGTGATCTCAAAATATACCAGTCCAGTCTCCATTTGAGTTTAAACAAAATTTATTCCATCAGACAAAACTATACAATTACAGGAAAAAAAAAATGAACTCACAGCTCTGTGAATGAGCATATCAGATTCTTGGGCATCGCTCCCCGTCGAGTACCATCCTAGTATATAAAAATTTGGAAACACCTTCTTATCTGCTCAACGCATGAAAATCTTTACTTTCGATTTCCACCACCCAGAACGAAACAAATATAACATAAATAAACGAAGTACATACAGAGTTCCTGTTTTTTCTCCAGGAAGGCACGGTCCAGGGAGTGAGTTAATGGATCGAATAGGAGCTCGAAACTGTTGAATATCTCGACAGTACGGCCGCGTTGGACGCCTATAACGCATCCGAACACTCGAGGTGACTGCTGAGGTGGCGATGAGGATTCAGCGTCGGCGACGTTTGAGGCGGAGGGAGCGTGAGGGGTGGTGGAAGGGGGTAAAGACTGGGACTTGATCCGAGTGTAGTGATCGGAAATGTTGACAATGACTAGTGGATGGAGCTTGAATGTTAGCCCACTGCTCGAAGATGACGCCATATTCTCTTCGAATCCTAAGCCCTTTGCTTGTTTGATTGAAAATGGAACAGAAGGGCTTTAGCTCGCTTCCTCTGTAACCTTTCCCCTTTACAATATGGGGAATTTGGCTTTGTAGCCATAAATAGGATTGTTTAGAGAAATGGTCAAATTTAGCCCCGTTTGGCCCTTTTTAATTAGAACTCATTAAATTTTATTTATTTATTTATTATTATTATTATTGTTCAAAATAAAGATGAGAATAGACGAGAATACCCACTACTTCAACTCTCCACTGTTAAGCCTCATTTGATTTTGTTAGGAATCAAAATTTTAATAGATTTTCATAGAAATTAATGAAATTTATTGAAAATGAGATGGAGTGTAATACCCCAAAAAAATTTGTACAATATATTATGAAGCATAAATGCACGTTTTGAGATTTTAGGATAACCTAGCAACTTTAGTATTTTCTAGGGACCTTGTGTTAATAATCATAATAATTGGACATATATGAATTTTGGATATATATGAGTTTTGCATGAAGTTAAATTTTAATATTATTTTGGATATTTATTAAATTATTATTGAATTATCCGATATAAAAGTATTTAAATAAAACCTGAAATTTACATATATCCATACTGAAATCTTATCATCAAACAGTTATAATTTTTTAAAATTTGAATTATATGATTAGTTTGTTTGTTAAAACATCAATCTAAATTTGAATTAAGAGTCTTATTAGAATTCTAATTAAGTAACTATCCTTATCAATCACACCTATAAACATGTCCTTGTTGTGCACTTCAATTCACACAAATTCAGAGAGAAAGATAACAAAGGAAGAGAAAATATAAGTGACAGAAAAAAGAGAGAGGGGGTAGAAAAAGGAAAAAAAATGCGAGGAAGGAAAAAAAGTGGGAGAGAGAAGAAAGGAAAAGAAAAGTAAAGAAAATCTTTTTCGTCATGTTCAAGATTCGTTCGTAAGAATTTTTAGTCCTAAGTAGCTGAAATACACAAGGGATTTAACAAATTAGGTATGGATATTTTTAAATACCAAGCAATTTTGTATTTTCACTTTTTAATATTTTAAGTATTTTATGCACTATTATGTGATCCAAATTAAAGAATTATGTGGGTGATATCATAGGGTATTATTAAGTGAATCTACACAGAAACCAGCCATAGGGCTACACACCTAAAGTGAAGATTGAGAATGGGTATGACCTAAATGAGAATGAGACGGCCAGATTTCTATCCAACTAGAAAATTATGTTGTGTGTGTATTTTACTTGCTTTTTTATATCAAATTGGAAAAATAGCGGCATGAAATCTATATCGAGTGCATTCATATACTCATTTCATATTCTAAATTATTTTTACAGATACTTGATGGATCGGAGTTGAAGGTTAAGATTGTCGATAGAGTTCGTGTCGCTGGATTAATAATTTTATTTTCTTTCAATTTTATTTTCAAAATCGATGAATTTATATTTCATTAGTAGTTTGAATTTATTTAACATATTATGAGACAATAAAATAGTTTATTTTATTCCACGAAGTTCTTCAAAAATTTTTGTTTTACAATATAAGTAAATTCACTTTTCTTACAGATAAAAAGATTAATTGAGCAACCTTCGAGACATAGGTTTCGGGGCATTACAAGATGATATCAGAACTCAGTCAATTTTTCCTGAAGATTTTATGAAATTAAAATTTTAGATTTCTTTATATGTTAAAGTTTTATAAAAATTTTGATCAACACGATGCCAATGATCTAAGATATAAAATTACTTTAGTTTTAAAGTTAACAATTGATTGTTTGAACTTGATATATCCACATTGTAGAAAGTTTAAAGGAAAAATTTATTGTTTGAAGTTTCTCAATTTGCGTATTCACAAGATCGAAAGGCTTTGTCAAAAAAATCTAAACTATCTAGGATGAGCTTGAGATTTAAGTGATCCACTTGTGACCCTCATCTTCACCTGAAGGCCTTTTCAGTTGTGTATTATTCATATTAACAAGACGAAAAGCAATATTGTAAACCCGTTAAAAATATATATATGTAAAGCCCATTTAGTCAAATCTTATTGGAAACAATAAGAATTTGTTGAACAGAAACAACATTATTTATACTCAAGTATTCTAACGTCGTCTGCTATATCAAGATAGTTGAATAACCTCTAATAGATGATCCCATATTTAAGGTTTAGATGATAGCTAATTTAGCACAAGAATTACTAGCTGCTATGTGAGAGATGTCGCAGCAGCAACTGCCTCAAAAGCCAAGAGAGGGGCTCGAATCATCTTCAATTATAGAATAATTTCGCAAGATGCAACCACCCGTGTTTGAAGGTGGCCCTGATCCACTGGCTACTGAAGAATGGCTTCCCAATTTTGAGCATATCTTCAGGTTTATAGAATGCATTGGTGCACAAAAAGTTCTTTGTGCGATATTTATGATGAGAATGAAGCATGTAATTGGTGGCAAATGACTACTCGATCCCATACTGATGAACCTAAATTTAGAAATGGATAGAAAGATTATAAAAACAGACTTAGCAGTATGGGTTGAGCATGTGCTGAAAAAGAAGCGTGCTCAAGGATATCCTTAATGTCTTTTACCAACATTGGTCAGAAAGAGTTAACCATCGAAGAAGTTCGAGTGGTTAGGGGTTTTTCAGATGTATTTTTAGAGATCTACAAGGGATGCCTCCAAATCGAGAGGTCAAGTTTACTATTGACCTCATATCGGGTGCCACGCCAATTTCAAAGACCCCTTATTGTATGGCACCTATAGAACTTCAGAAATTGAAAGTATAATTGTAGGAGTTGTTAGACAAAGGTTTCATTAGACCCAATGTGTCACCATGGGGAACTCCAGTATTGTTCGTAAAGAAAAAGAAAGATGGATCGATGAGAATGTGTATCGATTATCGAAACCTGAACCATATTACAATTAAAAATAAATATCCCCTCCCTAGAATTGAAGATTTATTTGACAAGCTACAAGATGCCAATGTCTTCTCTAAAATTGATTTAAGATTAGACTATCATCAGCTAAAAATTAAAACAACTGACGTTCTTAAGACCGCATTTAGAACTTGATATGGGCACTATGAGTTCTTGGTAATGCCCTTTGACTTGACAAAGGTGCCAGTGATCTTCATAGATCAGTTTGTTATTGTCTTCATTGATGATATACTAATCTATTCAAAGAGTGAGCAGTAACATACGAAACACCTAAGGATTATTCTTGAAATACTAAGGAAAGAGAAGCTCCATACCAAATTCAAAAAATGCGAATTTTGGCTCAATAAAGTGCAATTTCTTGGCCACATAATCACAGCCCAAGGAATTGAAGTTGACCAAGGTATAGTAAAAGCAATTACCAATTGGCGTCGGTCAACTAATGTTAGAGAAATACGCAACTTCTCGGGATTAACAGGTTATTATAGGCGATTCATTGAGGGGTTTTCAAATATTGCCATCCTAATAACTCAGCTAAATTGAAAAAATGTGAAGTTCCAATGGATAGGTGCAAATAGAGCTTTCAGGAACTAAAATAGAAATTGACCTCAACTCCAGTCTTGGTCATACCTAAAGGGTTAGAAGGCTTCATTATTTGTAGTGATGCATCTAAACAGGGTCTGGGATGTGTACTTATAGAACATGATAAAGTTATTGCATATGCTTACAGACAACTAAAGTTGTATGAAGAAAACTATCCGACGCATGACCTGGAGTTAACAGCAGCAACAGTTTATGCACTAAAGATATTGTGACACTATCTCTACGGAGCTAAATGTGATATGTATACGAACCACAAGAGCCTAAAATACTGCTTTACCAGAAGGAATTGAACATGAGACAGCGCAAATGGCTAGAATTTGTGAAAGATTATGATTGTGCCATTCATTATCATCGAGGAAAAGCTAATGCATTAAGTAGGAAGACAGTGGGACATTTGACAGCTTTACCCACTATACAGAAATCATTAATCAGAGATATTTATCAATTACAACTTAAGGTGATCTTACCTCATGTAGCTATTGCAGCATGAATTACCACCCTTACAATTCTACATATCATTCGAGATAGAATTAAGAAAGCTTAGGACAGTGATTTGTTTCTACAAAAGATTAAAGATGAAGTTAGCACGGGCAAACGAAAGGGTTTTGAGTTAGCTGAAGATAACATTTGATGATTAAAGGAAGTTTGTGTGTTACCGAAGGATATGAGAAGATACCGAAAAAAATATTAGAAGAAGCTCACTTCACAGATAGAGATTCGAGATTCGCTTCAAAATTTTAGAAAAGTATACACAAGGTGGTGGGGACTAGGCTAAACTTCTGTACAGCTTTTCACCACAGTCAGATGCCCAATTGGAGAGGACTATTCAAATTCTTGAGGACATGCTTCGAGCATGTGTCTTAAATCTTGGAGGAAGCTAAGAAAAACATCTACCATTGGTAGAATTTTCCTATAATGATAGCTATTATATTGCCATTGGAATGGCTCTTTATAAGGATTTGTATGATAGAAGGTGTGGATCTCTAACTCATTGGAATGAAGTTGGTGAACAAAGAATTTTAGGACATAAGATTATTGAGCGAACAGTTTGAGCTATTGAGATGATTAGAGCTCGAATAAAAACAGCACAAGAATGACAAAAAAGTTATTTAGATATCATGAGAAAGGATCTTGAGTTCGAGATTGGTGACAAAGTTTTCCTAAAAATAGCTCCTATGAAGGGAGTTATTCAATTTGCCAAAAGGGGAAATGCTCCAACCAAGATATATAGGACCTTTTGAGATATTAAAACGTGTGGGAATTGTGGCTTACAAGCTGGCATTGTCTCTTGAACTTTCAGCAGTACACAATGTCTTTCATGTTTCTATGCTTCGAAAATAAGTATCAGATTCCGGCCATGCGATTAATTTTCAATTGTTAGACATTCGTTCAAATCTTACTTACAAGGAAGCTCCAATAGTCACTTGGATAGGAAGATTCGAATACTTCATAATAGAGAAATTTCATTGGTAAAAGTACAGTGGCAAAATCATGCGATAGAAGAGTCCACTTGGGAACATGAGGCAGATATTAAAGCTAAATATCCACAACTTTTCGATA